TTTCCATGCAGAGCTGATCGACATTTTTTTAATTTTGAAATTAAAAAAAAATATTTTTATGTGATTTTTCCTCCAGCATTCTCCCCTCTTCCCCCCTTGAGATAGCTGGTTGAAATATTCTGAATTTTGATAATATTTTTCAAATTTTGAAGAAAAGGGGGAAAACTGTTTCTTCTTTTGTTGCAGTGTAGGTAGATCTTGTGGTTAAAGGACTGGAGGGCGACTTGGGAGATCTGGGTTCAATTAAGCTCCTTAGATGACCTTGGGCAAGTCACTTAATCTTTCTCTGCTTTAGTTCCCCAGCTGTAAAACAATAGTAACAATAGATTGCCTTCCCTGCCTCTTCTTTCTCTTTTTGACCAGGTCTATGTGACCTGTCCAAAATCACAAAGCAACTTCATAGCAGTTTGGGATTATGATTTAGAAATTCCTGGCTCCTAGTTCCATGCTCAGGCCATTACTGCTGCCTAAGTGTATAGTGAAGTATGAAATATTTAGTTCAGCATTAACTATAAAACGTCACCATAAAATGGACATAGTATTAATAGCACTAAACTAGGTGATTGGACTTAGGCTCCTAAACCACTTAGGGCTGAGCTACATACAGAAGTTGCACCTTTAGTTAAACTGGTACCAGTTCGTGTGCAGACCAGGCCCGACTCTCAAGAATGAACTATAGTATATTAAATACCATTGTGAACACAAGACTTTTGTCAATTATAGAGCCCCCAAATATACCATCTGCTCTCTGGTTCCTGTCAGCTGATGAATCTCAGAGCAGAGCACCTGGGGAACTAGCTTCTTGTGGCAGTGTTCTGATAATGTCTTGATTTAATACTGCTGCTGGACATGCTGTATCCATGTCTTAGAAAGGAACCATCTCAGACAGAAAGATCTCTGGTGTAAGAAAAAATTAGCTTATTCTTGAGCAGCCCTAGGGTCCCTCATTCTAGTGGGTAAGATCTCAGCGAGTATTGCTTTGGGATGGAGATGTCTTTGAGTTCCAATAATACTTTGTGCTTCGATGGCACCTTTCACTCAAAGATCTGAAAAGACTTTACATGTGTTAATGAATGAAGCCTCACAGCACTCTAGGTGGTAGGTGGGAACTACTGGGTTTTTTTTACATGGGCAAAGTGAGGCTTGGGTTAAAGAACTAACCCAGGTCAGTAGCAGTGCTAGCACTAGAATGTAAAGCCTAGAATGTCCTACCCTTGCACTACTTCTGGTGCAGTTCCATCAACAAAGAGCAGCAGTGTGAACAAAGGGCCTGTGCCCAGCAACATCTTTATGACTGTGTGTCCGCTAGATTTGCTCAGAGCAGGTTTAAATGACAGTATGGTAGAAACACTGGCAACTTGATCTCCCATCATTAATACCACTGGTGTAGTTGCACTGGTACTTGCACAAAGGTGGGGACTGTCTGGGTAAAACCAGTTTAATCTTTCTTTCTTATACAGCACAACTTCCATACGGCACAACTGATGTTTTTCATTTTCAGACCACTTAAATTTTAGTGGCAACTATATATAATCTTAACTGGAGACGTAAGTTCAGGTACATCCGTCAGAACACAGGATGTGATTCATGGCTTCTATTCCCAGCTTGCTTACTGAATGGAAGGATCATGTTGGGGTAGGCATGCTCTGTGGCTCAGTTTACCCATGTATGGATGGGAGATAATGTATCGCCCAGGGATGTTCTAGGGACTAGAATACAGGTGTACACTGCCAGATGTGGCTGGTACATTGGCAGGTGTTAGCAGGCTATATAATTCCCTTGGAAGGTTTACAGAAAATGAGAAACTGTTACTGTGCTTATGCAGAAATCAGTCAATGCTCTTGTCCAGGTGCTAAGAGTTTTAGAGACATAGGGGTTCTGCTGTGGCCCCTTTAAACAGCTTAGTCAAAGCTTTGCCAGCCCCCTGGACAATCCCTGTAATTCAGGGATGGTGCACGGGCAGTGTAGGTTGCGCTACACCATCCCCCCATGCGGTGACCTAGGTACAGGTGTGGTGGCTGAGGATAAGAAGGGACATGTCAGGGCATGAGGGGGAGTGGCTGGATTGCTTTGTGCTCTGACTGCTCTGGGCTGTGGAATAGTCCATGGGCAGTGGTGGGAAGCCCCTAGAGCTGCTCTCACTTAAGCCAAGGGCTGAGCTGGCCCTGGGCTAGCCCCAAATCCTGAAAATACAAAGATAGCACAAAGCTACTTTTGACCCTACACCTCTTGGTTCTTGCAGCTCAGAATCTGGCCCTACTGAAAACTTAGTTGAACTTATAGAGACAAGATGGGGGGAGGTAATAATATTCTCTGTCTAATATCCTGGGACCAACATGGCTACAACAACACTCCGTATAACATATCTATACTCATGGCATCTCCACCTTCTTCATCAGCTTCGTCCCACAGATCAAGGCAGCAATCAGCATCATCCCCTGGTCCCAGCCAAAGTGTATATATAGGAAGAAAACCCTACTGGGAACTGCTATCAAACACAAGTCTAAGGGGTCAGTTACCCCCCAGCATGTTCACCCTACAAAGCCACCACATGCCCTGAAGGAAAGGGAACCTCAGGAGAGGCTGTTCAACGTTCATGGGAATGACTGAGGCTAAGTGGGGGATAAAGGAGTTAAAAACTCATCAGAAAAGCTGCCAATGGATTTCCCAGCCAAGACTGCAAACCTTTAGAGGTCCCATACATCACTTGCATACGACTCTGAATCTACTCTTTATTCTCCAAAGCTCACTTGTGCCAGAGGTAAGGGTCAGGCTGGCTGGCTCTTGAGTGTGTCTGAAGAACATGTAGATTCTTTTCTGTTACCTGCAGGAGACCCAGAATCCCGGTCCCTTACATGGCTGCATCCACTGCTGCCTCCATATACCCAAGGCAGCAGCTCCCACCTGATTGCCAAGGAGGCGTTTGCAGACAAACAGTTTCACAGGGGGAGGAGATGGGGATGCAGAGGCTGCTTGGATATTTTTCTCTCCCTTTTTCCAGCTTTGTGTGCGCTCTCTCTCTCTTACTCTCTCTCCACACTCAACGCTTTCATTCTAACTCCCCTCTCCTCTTTCTCTTCTTTTCTCCCTTTCCCTCTCCCCACATTTTCAGCCGCCTCTCCACCCTCTGCTTTCCTCTCCCTCCCTCCCACGCTCCCTTCTCTCTTTGTTGTGGAATTCCTCCTTGGTGGCACGGAGCGGGGCGGCGCAGCATGCCAAACGCTGTGGTGCGGCAGACTTTCTGTCTGCAAGGGGACTTCCTGTCCCTGCTTAGGACTTACTGCAAGAAACCAAAGACAGGCTTGTTTCCCTGCCTAACTGCCTCCTTGCTGACTGCACTTTTCTGTTCCGGCTAGGAATAATATACCGAGAGCTTGGAGGAACATAAATTGAGCTCCTAAGAGCCAGTCTAGTGGGGAGACTTTAATGAAAGGGAAAATAAATTGTGCACGGGACATTTTGGGAGGGGTGCAGCGTTGACAGGGCAACGCAAAGAAAAAGCTTCTCTTTGTTGCCTGTAGAAAGAGCACACGTGTAGAATTTGTTTGGTTCAGGACAGCAGGGGAAAGAGGCCTTTAAATGTTGCTGTGTGTGAGAGCTACAGGTCTCTGATCGGTCACCACATATTCAATCCCCCAGCGTTCAGCTTGGTCTTCAGTGTGGGGGCTTAACCTTAGAGAAAAGATGCAGCCCATAGGACACCAGCCCTTTCCAGATTGCCACCGCAGTGCATGAAGCCTCCCCAAGGCCTCGGTTAGCCAAGAGGATGTTGCAATGCAGCGAACATCTAATGACACACTGAGAGAGGATGTTGTCCTGCCCTGGATGGGAGCTGCACGTTTCTGATTTCTCTGCACAATGCTGTGATTCAGGAACTTCAGCAAGGCGCATGAGTCATGCTGCGAATTTCCCCCGAACGAGTCAGACTTGTAAATATGCTGGCCTGTCTAAGCTGCTCGGAACATGTCTTGTGCTGGGGGGTAGTGCTCGCTGCTTCTCCCCTGAGGCTCCTGGGACTGCGTGCTGGGGTGCAGGGCAGTGCTTTACGCCTGCTGTCTCAAGCCTTTTGTAAAGGACGCTTGCTGCCAGAGGCTTTTCTGTACTGACCTGAGTGCATTTATTTACTGACCTTTAGTCGCTTGCAGGCAGATGCAAGTGACCACCTGACGCACACTGACATCCACACCCACCCTGCGTGAGGAAGAGAGCAATGGAGCCAGCAGCGCAGAATTTGGATGAGGATGAAGAAATAGCCAGGGTTTATCTCTATAGAGAGCATCAAAAAAGAAATGGAACACCCGCTAGCTAGAGATGACAGCTGTCTCACCTGTACCTCTCTTCCACATGCATTGGTCTTTGGGCCAAATTCCATCTTAGTTCCACGGGTGTAAAGTTAGCGTTGCCCAATTGCCTTCATTTGCGAAGCCCCTGCCAGCCATTGATTCCTGCCCAGCGTGGGGGCTGTCGCAGTCTCAGATAACGATTTCAAAGGGTGACCTGCCTGTGTGGCCCAGCACTACCCTAGGTCTACCTGCTCCAGTCGACCAGAGAGCAAGCAGCAGGGTGATCCCGTAGCACCTAGAGGTCCCCATTGTGCCAAGTGCTGGATAGTTGCTTAGTAGGGGACGGGGCGCTGGAACAATTTGTACAGTGGGGGTGCCGAGAGCCATTGAACCAAACTGTAAACCCTGGATAGGATGGAAACCACTTCAAGCCAGGGGGTGCGGCAGCATCCCCCGCAAACCCGTAGTTCCAGCACCTGTGGTAGGGGGACAGACCTTTCCCCGAAGCTCTTCCAGTCTAACTACACAGGAGGTGGAGGAGATGGGACTTCACAGAGCAGCAGAGACAGGAATAAAGCCTCGGTCTCCTGGCTCTCAGGCCAGTGTCATAGCTACTAGCCCATCAGGCCTCCCCGAAAAAGCCTGGGACTTGGGTTCTTTTCCTGGCTCTGCTTCCCACATGACACTAAGCAAGTCACTTAACCTGAGTGCGCTGAAATGGGGATAATAATACGGACCTAGTTCACATGCTGAATCCATTTGTGTCTGCCAAGCACTTGGAGGTCCCTGGACAGGAGTGCAGGATGTTACTCTGATGCAGTGAATGACTCGGGACTTTTCAAAACTACGTTCCCAGGCATCAAATGCCCCACCTTGCTCTGGCTGGAGAGTTCAGGATGTGGCTTGCTACTGAGGCTAGCAATAGCATACGTTAACCGACAGGGATCACTCAAGGGTTACATGTAACACTACTTTCCGGCTCAATAAGGGCCGAGCTTGCTGTCTGCACGCCATTGCTCATTTCAGTATTGATGGGCCACGCTCTAGTGTCCAAATGTGTCCCAATCTCCCCATCTGTTTGCTAACTAGAAATACATTTGAGTCCGGCTGTGGCTTATGAGTCAGTCAAAGCCTGGAGTCCTGGGTGTTTTACTGAATGTCAGCTAATTGAAAACTTGCACCTTGCAGAGCTTGGGCATCTCATTCCAGTGCAAAGGCCCTATCTTCATCTGCCTCCCTCTCCTGGTTTCCTCTTTCATTGTGTATGTTGGGGAGGAGGTGGGATGTGCCATTTGCACTTAGCTGTCCTGTTTCCTTGAAGAGGAGATATATCATGGAGTGCATCTGACCCGATGGGTTCTCTGTCTATGCCATATCCTGCTGAGTAACCCTGGCTTCACATCCATACATGGGGAAGAACTGGATAAGAGGCTTTCCCCTCTGTCATACCTCCTCCCCTCTTAGCAAATACCGTTCCTGCTAATGCTGGTATGTAGAAAACTTTCCAGCTTTCTGACTAATACCAGAGTCACTGGTTTATCACCCCATTCTATAAACAGGGCCATTCCCTTTTATTAGAGACACAGAGCAATTGTTCAGTTATATAATAACATTCTGCCTTGGCAGTAAGAAAGAGGCACCTACCCTCCCTTGGCTTCATCAAGATATCTCTCCACCCATGGGCTATGAGATTCCTAACTTAGAAAGTACAGTGTTGGTACATGCTGTTATGCAGCTGTTGTGTTTGACCCCAGCAGAGGCTGCATTTTTTTGACAGGTAACACAATTCTTCTCTAAGTTGCATGTAGTTTGTGAAGTGTTTTGGGAACAAAGGAGCTTTATCAATGGAAGTCAATAAGCCATTCAAGTTGTGCAGATGCCAACATTAATAATAGTGAAACTTTGCTTTTCTAGAGCTCCTCCCACTCCAGGATTTTAAATGATTGTACAGTGATTAATGCAGTGAGCCTGCAACACTCTGTGAGTGAGTTATTATCCCCCTCCCTGCGTTTTACAAAAGAGGCAACTGAGGCACAGAGCAGTGATGTGACTTGCCTAAGCTCAGGTCTTCGCATTCCTACTCCTGTGCTCTGGACAGTAAAGCGTCCTACCACTCCTGGGCAACTTTTGAACTCAACGAGGGGCACCCACATTAGAAAATGGATCCATCAGTGCTGTTTAAGTGCCTGCAGAGGATAGGCTGCCTCAAACCCTGAAACGCATGAACAGCAACCCAGGGTGTTCAGCGGGAGCGTTAATCAGCTGCAGAGGTCAGTTTCCAAATGACCTTTGCTGCTCTGTTGGCAGGTGCAGCAGAAACTCTGTGCGATGCTAATGATAAGCCCTCACCCCGTTTAGGCTAGGAAGCATGGACGTTTGTCGTACTGCTAGGAGTCTGTGCTTCTGTGCATAATGAACATGACACAAACAGCCAATAAATAAATACATGTTGGGCCAGATTTATAAAGTGCTTAGGTGAGCAACTGCATGTGCCATTCACACACCCAGCTGTATGTGCAAGCAACCAGAACAGGCCATTTCTACACACGATTATCCAATCCACATGCATGCTCAGAGTGACAAATGTGCAAATGCACATGATGAAATGTGATGGTGCAAATGCACATGCGATTGTGTGCCCTAAACGCCTTAAAAATCTGGCCCTTTCTGTTTGCTCCTAGCCATTAAAAATCTCAGCTAAAGGAGTGGCTTAACTCAGTGGGCTTTAAAGCCAATATCTTCTTTCACGTTCCCAAATCCTCACATGCTATTTCTAAAATAAACTGACAACAACAACAAAAAGCAAGCAAACCAGAGCGTGCCAATATGGCTCCATAGTGCCTGTGCGTATAATGTAAACAGTATGTCTCTGCCTGGAGCTGCCTTTGTTCAGCGTTACTCGATTCCTAAGTGACTCATGAATGACTTCCTCCTTTTTGCCAAGTCTGATCTCAGGCTCATTCACAAATCTGTCTCCCTTTTTGGCAATGTAAATAATGGCTGAGTGATCACTTTGGAAAAATGAGACGGGTATTTCCCTCTCCTTCCCCCTCCCACCGTCCCAGTGCCCAGTCCTGGGCAACGCGCAGAGACGAGATTTTGGAGATCACAATACATGCATCTGCCCAAAACGCTGAGCAAGTGGTACATCATAATGCGATCTACTCTTATCTGCCTAGCTACCTACTGTCATTTATAAACTGCTTGTCCCTAGCATGGGGAGAATGTATTTTTGGGGGATGGACAGGGGAATGATTTTCCAGGCATTAACACCTTGTCTGATTTGGCTTCTAGAGTAGTATCAGTGTAATATTAGATACATCCGCTGTTAGGAAACTCCTGGCAGGCCAGCAGCAGCAGCATTATTGTTGTTGTTGCTGTTGTCATCATTTATTTATGTTATGGTAGCACCTAAAGACACCGTTGTGATGGATGCTGTACAAATGAGTAAAATATTAAACTTGTCCCAAAAACTTACAATCCATTTAGTCTAACTAGACTAGACCCCTTGGCAATGATCCAACTTCTGTGACTGATATCTTTCTAAGTCCACGGTCTCCCAGGAAGCAAGGAGCCACGCATTACTTAAGCGTGAGAAAAATGGGTTATAACCATACAGGCATTTGCTTATTGTTTATGAGGATTTAGACATTTTGAGTTAATAAAAGTCCAAAGTATATGGGACTGGATGTACCCTAAATGTGTTCTGAATCCTTGGCAGCTGAACAGACATGGTGATGTCCAGCAGAAAATCACATTTATCAGGGCAACTCATCGTAGGAATGAGTAAACCAGCTCAACTCAAATACAAACTGACCCTCAAACCTATGTCTAGAATTTGAATTCACACTAGACATGGAGCCAAATTCGCAAAGTTCAGGGATAGATCCAGATCCAAACTCCCCCATAGATTCGGGGTGTTTGGATCTGGATTTTGGTTCTGTCCATTGTAACAATATAGGCCAAAGTTCAGATCTGGATCCAAATTTGTCGGCGCTGGGGTTTAGGTTTGAGCCCACTCCTAGAAGCAAGAGTCTCTATGCTGCCTATTGTGGTACCATGCCTGCATCATTACTGTTTGAAGAATGGAAACGGATCCTTTCTATGGGAAAGAATTCCTTCACCCTGCAAGGAAGTCCGGGAGCAGGTGATAAAATGGTGACCCCAGCAAATGGCAGGTCTTTCATCTCCACTGCAAATTGCTGCATTTGGGAGAGCTGTGTGTAACAGGGCTTCCATCTTCTCACCTCTTGGAGCTGCTACTGACATGCCAGGGCCACCTGCATCTGCTGGTTCCCACTGTAGATAAACAGACTGCAGCCCTTTTCAAAGCCTGGGGGCGAGCTGGCTCCTGGGGAGGAGAGAAGAGGTGCTAATTGATTCAGTGCAGTTTGACACCTGATAGGATTCAGCTCAGTGGTAATCGCCAGAGGCTCATGCCAGCCACGCTGGGTGGAGATCGGGTAGCTCCCCTTGGGGAGAGGCGCTGTTATTTCCAGCGGTTACTCAGCTTTGTGTTACTGTCACGAGCAGCGAGCGGCCTGGCCGTGACTCCAGATCCTCTGAGCTTTGGGGAGGGTCTGCATTTAGATGCAGACTCCCCATGTGCCGCTGTGCCCAGGCTCTTGTCACTAGCTGTACTACCCCACAGCCGGAGCAATTCACACCAGAGCACGCTGCACCAGTGACATGGGGGCGGCTTATGCTGCGTGTTAGGACTGGATTTTGGAGGCTTGTTTCTGTTCTTTTTTGAAACACAAGTGGCTTGATGTTTAGAGTTCAGCTTTTGCAGATGCTCAGCGCCTCTCACTGAAGTTAATGGAGATGGTGCTCAGCACCTGTACAACCAGGCCCTTTTCTCCTGCCCCCCAGATAGGGTGACCAGACAGCAAGTGTGAAAAATCGGGGCGGGAGTGGGGGGTAATAGGAGCCTATATAAGAAAAAGCCCCCAAAATCGGGACTGTCCCTATAAAAGTGGGACATCTGGTCACCCTACCCCCAGAAGTGGGAGCTGCACTGAGCCAGGAACTGAACTTAATCATTCAAGCAAATGTACAAGACTGAACCAGCTCTGCCTTCTTGCCTCTCTCTTCAGTTCTGACTCTGTCTCTAACCTCCCCCTAGTGTTCTCAACTATGTATTGCATTTATGCACCCCCTGCTCTATTCTGTTTGCTGTAGATACAGTAACTCCTCACTTAACGTTGTAGTGATGTTCCTGAAAAATGCAACTTTAAGCGAAATTATGTTAAGCGAATCCAATTTCCCCATAAGAATTAATGTAAATGAGGGGGTTAGGTTCCAGGGAAATGTTTTTCACGAAACAAAAGACTATATTATATACACACACACACACACACACACACACACACACACACACACACACACACACACACACACACACACACA